AACAGGAAATGGTTTGCGAAGGAATCTTCATTCGTACAGCTCTTTAAGGCAGTAAACACGGATGGGAACAATAAAAAGTTTAGTTAAGTTGTATAAGAGAGAGAAAAACTACAAAGATCGTTTTGCAGACATGCTAACGATCGATGTTTTTGGTTATAGAAAGTATTCATGCTTTTTGTTGGCTGGCAAGTGCTGTTTAAATAAATAAATTAATGTGTTTAACTTATCAATAAAAACATTGTCGTTTCGTGTATTTGTTCAGGGCAGCTATCACGCAGTTCTTTAAAATCATTTCAGTAAATAAAAAAGGTCATAACTTTCCAAACGAGCTAACAGACCACGTTCTACCAACCTTTTGTTTTTTTTCTTTCTCCAGCTGTTTGCGAAGCGAACAAGGAGGGTCTTCGCTCTTCCCTCGAACTTCTGCAAACTTAATATTCAGGAAGTTTCAAGCTATAAAAATTTCCTTGGTCATCCGCTTCAAGCTGACCTTGATGACAATTGGCTGGAATTTAGGCTACCATGGTAATAACTTGTTGTTGATATGACGTCAGCAAAAGCGCTCGTGCACGTGCGCGTGGGCTCGAAAAAATTACAAGTCAAGGCGCTCGCAAGACTGAGAGCATTAAGAGAAACGTAATCTTCAAAATGACAAACGTTGTCGAAATCGGTAACGGAAGCCCTAAAGAAATCAAGCAAAATTACCATCACAAAACGGAAACGCGGTAAACTCTCTGATCCACAATGCCGGAATTGACCTCTTAACAACAACTGAAAACGTCGCGCACGCAAAAATCGTGTGTGTAACAAATACTTTCGATGTGTTGCAATTCTGAGAAATCTCAAAGCGCGCTCGCGCCACACGCGCGTCACTCAAGTTCTTCTCTGTCCATTTGACAACAGTAATACACTTGACCGTACGAGATAGTTCAGTGCTCTAGGAATTTTATTTATCAACTCCCGCGGTAAGGTGTCCTTGGACATGGACACAAAAACTAGGCATATAACCAGTTTTGATTACATAATCGGTTTTTTTTCTCTTTTTTTTTTTCTTAGCTAAAAATAGCCCTGATCATTCTCTCATCTCCAAAATTCTCTTGTTTGCTTGTTTGTTTTTGATAACGTAATGGGAGAAATATAAAACAGCCAATCCTGTCGAGAAAAACAAGCGTTGATTTGCAGACTACTAAAACTGGAACAAGCGAGTCTGATCAAATTCCTGTTGGCGCAGTTCATTGCGGCTCGTTCCAGAAAATCTGTGGGTGGCACCCTGTAATGTTGAGTTCCGTTGAGAGTATACATCTCTACGTCCGCCTTTGGTGAGCCTTTGCCATCATCGAAATTTTCCTGCGAAAACTGGCTATGGTGGAGAGATTTTGGAGTACAGTAGTTTGAGACCTGCTCTCTTTTCGTTTGCCGCGCGACCAGAATGTAAACGTGAAAGCCTTTCGGCACATTTTCATCCCCGTTAATTATTTGTTTTAATAAATTTTTGGAAGCAGGAACACCATTCATGAATCGCTCTTTCAAGACAAAATCTAACAAGTTACAGCTTTTTAACTGTTTGCGATTCGCATTGTTTGGTTTTGGTGAAATTAAAGACATGGGATTTGAGAACAATCACGACTATTTGATAAATTAGGTAACACGACAATACGTCGCTGTTTTCCAAATAGTGGGCTTTAAACATTTACTTTGTAAGAATGCCCATAACTAAAACGTCTCTAATCTTGCAAATTATTTTGCCAATATGCCGAATACCTCTCACAACGAAAAGAGATCTGGGATCTTAGCAGCTGAAAGTGTGACCTAAAAAATTTTGTAACAATGTACTTAAAACATTTATTTTGGGTTCGTTACAACTGACTAAATGGGGCATTAATCATAAAAGCACGTGGCTACTTATCTAACCTCGTGAGGGTCAGATGAATTTTTCTTGGCAAGTTGACAATGTATATTCGAACAAATAGAATGGATGAATTGCTCAGTGTCTGCTTGTTAGATTCTTCGCCTTCCAAGCAATTGATACGTCAATGCAACCTCCAAATAAAACTTAATATCTTTGCCGTAAACAATAGCGGCTAATCAAATTGCTACTTGATTATTAATAAGCACTAAATAAATGTACTCATCTGTATATTCTGAAGCGTTTCAACATGCAACCTGAAGAGTCTTAAATCGATTGGTTGGTTCCGAACAAGAAATTGAATCAAGGTCAGTGACTGCACACCCACCCCTCCCTTAACCCAACAAAAGTGCGTCAACTTATTACAAGTAAGGTATAATGTAGAGTCAGGGGGGGTGGGGTGGGTGCTAACTGAGATGTTTGCGAGAGCAAGATTTGAACATGTATCTTACAAATTGCAAACGATCCCTTTTTGATCAGAAATATATCATCATGGGCATTGTACACCGACCTGTCTTAAAATGAGCCCGCTAACATCACATTTCTTGATCGAGTTCGAAGAAAATAAAATTTGGCGAATTTACTTTTTTCAGTACCAAACAATTGGCAAAGGTGGTCGAACTCGCAATAGACAATTTTACAGTTGTGTGCTTGGTTGCCAAGCCTTTGAATGGGAGTGAGGCTAGGGTTGACCTTGTTATGATACAAACCTTGCTGCCTTTCAAATGTAAATCACTTTGTGAAGGTGTAGTCTGATCACCATTTACTGCATTACGTAAATCACTTTGTTATCATGCTAAGTAGATACAGGTCTCTATCACAACAAGGTCACCTTCAGCCTCACTCTTAATTAAAGGCTTGGAAACTAAGTGCACAACTGTAAAATGGCCTACTGAAAGATGAACTTTCACCGACCGCAGTCAAATATTTTGAGAGTGTTCCGTAAAAAGCGCGCATGAACGATTTTTATTCACGAGTTGTGATGCATCAAGAAAGTCACTCGTTCGAAGCGTTTCTGATGCATCGCAACGAGTGAATAAAAATTGTTCAAGCACACTTTCCGTGCATGGTGTAACGTTTTTATTTCGCACATCCTGAGATTTTTTCCTCACTCAGACCGACACATTTCATAGACTAGAAGCGAACGACAGTGAAAATACATCGTTCGTCCAATCAGAGGCAGAGATGATAGCACTTCACAATATGTAAATCTCAGTATGTATGAAAGAAAAACATTTTAAGTCCTTGATGTGATAATAGGGAGATTTAGCACCGCGGTTACGTAAAACGGCAAACGTCAGCTGCCCCTTTCACGTTTCACGTAAAATAGCGTGAACCATGCTGCTTTAGCTTCGCATGAACTCACGTCATGGTGTATTTGAAGGCGCCCTTGGAAGACTGACAAGGAATAGTTTTTGTGCCCTTTTCCCGTCAACTAACTTGTACTTTGTGAGAGAGAAAAAGTAAAGAAAATCTTACGTACACCGCAAAGGCCAAACAGATTACTTTTATGTAGAAACGGCGAAGCACAACCGGCAAACGTGAAAAAAAGGTGAGAAACAAACGTCACGTTGGTCACACTTGCCGTTCACGTTTCACTTAAACGTAGTGCTAAATCTTTCTATTGAGGGGGAAACGCGGGATTTTTTTTTTAATAGAGAACTGCTCAAAACTGACGGTATTTTTCGATTATCTCACCGTGGCTGAATTAATTTCTTCAATTCAGGTATGACGTCATGGTGTGAACGGTTTGACGTAAGCTGTTGCCCGGATTCGATTCAGGACCTGTTAGTTGCACCAGTTACACGTTTCTATGTATAAATTTACTCCTTACCGCCCATTAGGATTCGAAAGGCCATGGCGCATATGCAGGGGTCAACGTCCTTATAGCTTACTTTACCTTTCCAAGCTGTCATCTTAACTTAGTAACCTAGCCGCATACATGACAGTTTTCAAAATGAATAAAGGCTGATAGTTTCGAAAGAAACTGTTTGGGGCTGCGTCGGTGGGAGTAACGAAATAATTTGGATATATCAACAAAGTTGAAATGGTAAATTGGCCACCGTAACTATTGCAAAAGCTGACGTTTCGAGCGTTAGCCCTTCGTCGGAACGAATAGAGGAATTGTGGGTTGTGTGTGCTTTTAAGGCAGAAAATGGAGCTACGTTATTGGTGGGAACATGGCAACTAGAAAAACATGAATAAATTAGTGGAATGAAAAGCGTTCGTTGATACCTGTGGGGTTTAGACTGCCGGTTTGAAAGAAGAGCTTTTGTTCAAGATTTTTACGGCTTTCCGTGCTACGTAAGTGCAAGGAAAGACCGCAGATTGCCATATGTTGCTTAGAATGATTAGGTAAATTAAAATGTCTAGCGACTGGTTTCGATGTGTCCTTGTCATTCCTTTCCACGTCTCGAAGGTGTTCTCGGAATCGGTCACCTAGTCTTCTGCCTGTTTCGCCGATGTATATCTTTTTGCAATAAGTGCAAGTTATGCAAAATGGCCGCCGATTAAGAGAAAGTACCTACCATTTCCAGACTTGAACTTTTTCGCGGCTGAGAAAAATAATATATGGTCTCTACGTTAAATGCGATGTGCAGAGATACGAACCAAAAGCGCTGCGGCACCACCCAGTAAATTAGTGGAATTAGATCTAAAATCATCAAAAACCTTACCATCTTAAAATATTTTGTATAAAAAACAGCATTAAATACTTACTTATCAAAGTCCTTTTGCATCTTTTCAGTGCTTTATTTGAAACGCGTCACGCAACACCGTAAACGGTCCTTCTGCCGAAGGCCAGTTTTTATTTGAAATAAAAGCCGTTATTATTGAGCACTTGATGCCTCGTTCCCACACGGCTCTCTCATAGGCCTTCACCAAAAATCCATTTCGATGATGTCACTCCATCACGTGACCAAAACGGAATGACCAGAGGGAAATATAAGAGGCCTGAGAAGTAGGCATAGGATTGTCTTGGACCCAGACCTTTTAAGGCCATGCAGTGACCTCACAAATATGGTCTGAGCACAAGATTCAAGTGAAAACACTAAAGGTTGTAATGGAGACAAGAAAACGCGACAAATTTTTTTTTTCGAAAAATAGACTTTTAATTCTGTATAAAAACGTCGTTTTGAATACACGTACAAAATTAAATGTAGCAATTAAAGCGTTTGACTGCATGGAAAAAGTGAAATAAATATTACAGATGGCCAATGAAGCAATCTGTCAAACTGACCTATATTACAAATATGATATGATATTACATACATACAAATACTACAAAGAATATTGATAAACTTAATTTTGTTCTGAATTTTATATAAATTGGCATTTCCTCTAAAAAGAAATCTTAAACGTCTTTTCTGTAAAGAGAATATTTTCGACGCAGTATAAAATATGGACCAAGAAGACTGGTCCGTTATTTCATAAATTGTTATTAGTAGCAGTATAAGCCTTTGAGGCCACTTTTCACACACAAAACGGTTAATTTAGTTTCCAAGTCACACCGTGTGTAGTCTACACAAAGTAGTTCTTCCGTAAAACTGACATGTATTGCTTGGACGATGCGGTCAGCGGTCCGTAAGAACCGCTGTCCCCATCACTTAGCAGGCTCGGCTTGAGATCGAGGTCTGATGTCAAAGGAGCTAGAAAGATGACAGAAAAGTTTTAATATTATGGAACAGCGTATCACCAGCGATCATGGAAACGTTGCGTGACACCGGAAATCACGGGACATCACTCATTGGAAAAAGTAAAAAATCGGGAAACTACTCACCACTTTCCAAATGACGCTTGATACTTTTGTTTAGTTCATCCTCCACAGCCTTCATTAACTGCCCGTCCCCCTGAACAGAAGAACACACGGTATTTTACTAGGTATCAATTCAGATTTTTGGACTAAAAAAGCAAATTTATCTCGGAGTTAAAACAGAGAAAGTCTGCACTTGCGCCAACACGTAGACAATTCAGGGGAGCTTTTCCCGGTGTCTGTAGCATGAAGCGAAAAGAAGTGCTGCTACTCCCCCTGAATGGAGTGTCAGTAGCCGATTACATTATGGTGGGTCTCTCCTCACTCGCTCCAGGGGGCGGAAAGATGAGAGACCCTGGGAACGAGGTTGGTTTATAAGATGAAGCGCTTCTATTGTGATCAGGATGAAGTGTACCTTGGAGTACATTCTATCAGGGCTTGTTGTGGGTGAACCATTCAAGATGCCACCCGAGCTAAACTGATGCGGAGATGTGTCCCGCTTTAATCCATCGAAATTTCTCCGAGATCTCTCCAGACTGTGAAAGGAAAAAAAAAACATTTGGGAATATTAGTAACACCTTCGTGAAAACCGCGACGGTTCAGTTACTATCGGCCCTATCGTTATGACCTTTTTAACAAATGGATTCCATGTTGCGGTCGTCCGTTCTGTAAGAGTGCACAGATGACGTTAAAATGTGGGGGAGGCACTGCACGATAACACTAATACGTGTGCTGAACGGTCCTCAGCGATATTCTGAGTTTGCTAAAAAACGGTTAAATACATGAAAGAAATCAAGGCTTTTAACATCTTTAATCAATAGATAATGTAGCTGGGGATTCATAGGCGTATTTGAGATATACGCAAGCGCAGGAGCCCATGGGTCATTCAGCTGTCTCCATTAGGGGCTTTTACTGAGTCCTGTGTGGTGCGTCAACCACAAGAAGTTTGTCTGCCACAACCAACTAACAAAGTGGCGGTCAATTTTTGCGTAGTTAGGGAAGCTAGGGAACGTGCGAGGCGAGCACAAAGCGGACTTCACGCAACCTCGTTCCCTGGGCCTTTTCCCTTAGTTGGCCGAGGTTGGACTTCACGCACGTATGAGGTAAGTCAGTGGAAAGCATGGCATATCGCTTACTTGAGTAGCGCTTGAGACTCCGCCATTTTCTCATTTGCTTTGTACAAGCGGCTCGCCAGCCTATCTTTTGACTTTAATTCACTCTCGTATAGATCCTGAGGGGAAAACAAACAACATAAAGAAATTCCTCCATCAGGCGATAGAAATCTCAAGCTCACAATAACATTTTACATGGGATGCTAGCCCATCGAAAAATATAGCAGCAGCATTTCATCAAATTCCCCTGAAAATTTACTGGTTCCCATTTATCCTCCTGGGTGGAGTAAGGCACTATGACGGTTAACCGTCTTGCTTTAAAACACCACATAATAAACCGACTAGCGTTCGAACCCAGACCTCTCGATCCAGAGTGCAGTGTGCTAGCAACCAGGCCACTAGGTCTTTCACGCCAACCGGCACACAGAGACAGCAACTAATTACATACAAAATTGTTTTGCAAGGTTGTATAAGTTAAGCAAGGTTACATTAGTTTAAAGGGAATGTTGAAAATAGCTGTGATATGAAGTCACTGATTTAACATTACCTTGTATCTTTTAGCTTCAGCGTCTAGGGTTTCTTTCCGCGTTTGGCTTTCATGGAATCCGGCTCGCATTCTTGCCACGTCGGTCTAACAGATATGCAAAAATTCTATTAATATCAATTATCGTAATTTGTAATGTGCTATCCGAGCGCAAACGAATGCTGACTGATTGTTTCCCGCGCTTTCGATTGGTGATCGATTTCGTAGCGCTTACGACTGGTGACTCATATTCGCGCGCCTGCAGCTGGCCACTGATTTTCCCGCGCTTACGATTGGTGATCGATTTTGCAGCACCAAGGGCCTGGCTAAACAGGAAACTTTGTTGTGGAAACATTGTTTCCTGTTATGTTTCCCGGGGTGGCTAAATTAGCAGGAAACAACAAAATGTTTTGCTGCCCCAGTGGCTAAACGAGGAAACATTGTTTCGGAAAACAAATGAGCTTCGCATGCGTGTATGAATAAACTGACCTCGAGGAAGTCTGGGGATCAAAGTATGTTCACATTTTCACTGTATCAAAGCCCTTTGTGGCATTCTGCACAATAATAAAGAAACGTATGATGCACGATCCTCGCAGTAGATAGCGCTATTTATGCAATAGCGAAAATCAGACCTGAAAAAAATCAGGCCTGTACGGGACTCGAACCACGGACCTCTCCGATATTAGTGCAGCGCTCTACCAATTGAGTTAACAAGCCA